CTGCTGCTGCTGCTGCTAGACCTGCCAAACATTGTAAAGTGGAGACACGCAAGTGATTGAGATGCTGGGCTTTGAAGCAGCGCTCGGATTGTAGTGAGTGAGGCCGAGCCAGTGGTCTGCAAGCGTGTGGTCTGACCGTGAGTTGCGAAAGCGTTGGATGAATTGGGCAAGGAGCCGTAGGCGTGAATGCGCGTGGAGGGAAGGAATACAGCTTAGGCTGCTTCTCGACAAGCTGTGTATGAGCTCGTCCGCTTCAAATGCTCTGGCATCCGGCTTTGTGAACGAATCGTACGTCAACGTGGATTCTGGCCGATGATCATGAAGAGTCCAGGGAACCCGAAGTTAGGACAGCAATCACGAATCGTGAAGCTGCAGGAAGTTGGATCACCACGCCAAGGTGTCTTGCATCTCACGGAACTGAGGATCACGTGACGCTCTTTCTCGTGCGACAGACGCGTCGTCAAGCTGGCGCCAAGCTCGCACGCACCGCTCAAGCCAAGACACATAATAGGCGCAAGCAACAGGCGAGCGCACAACACCAGACCGCGCGCGCGAGTGCTTGCAGGATCACGAATGCTTGACCCCTGTCGAGCTCATCTCAACCAACAATCACAGCCTCGCAGATCCCACACACAGACTCACGACTGTCGATCAAGACATTTCCAACCTTCATCGCAACTCAGCACCGCATACACGCCTGCCCACTACCACGCAGACGGTACCGCATCATGGTGAGTCGCCCCGCATTAGAGCTTGCCTATCCACCTGACCAGGCTGACGAGTTGCTCGCGTTCGAACCTGACCTGCGCAGTCCGACGCAGAGTACAAAGAGGCTTTTGCCCTCTTCGACAAGAAGGGCACTGGTCACATTGCGAGAGAGAGCTTGGGAGATCTGCTTAGAGCCCTTGGACAAAACCCTACCCAGGCTGAGGTCGCAGAGCTGGCTGCGAGCACCGGAAAGGATGGTGAGTAGAGGAGCAACGCGAGGTGGTGCACAGGCGAGATAGCAGTGAAGGGTGTGCAGGCGCGGAGGGTGGCTGTCACAATCGAACGCAGCCCCACGGGACGATGTGTACGAGCGATACCTTCGGCCGTGCGTCCTCTGGACCTCATCCCGCCATCGGCGGGTTGAAGCGTCGTCGTCGTCGTGCTCGTCTCAACGATGCTGCAAGAAACCAATCCTGAGGAGCTTGTCTGGGACGTCGCGCTCATCAATACCGACCCTGATCTCTGATTTGCTGCTACAGTGGACTTCAAGACGTTCCTCGACATCCTTCACAGGCCCAATGGCTTCAAGCCGGCAGGAACTCCAGGTACGTGATCGGACGAAGCGCGCGAGACCGTCTTGCAAGATCACAGCTGATGCAATCGCCTTCTTCGCTGTTGCCCCTCAGAGGAATTCATCCGAGGCTTTCAAGTGTTTGATAAGGAGGGTAATGGGTTCATCGGAGCAGGAGAGCTGCGCTACGTGCTTACTTCGCTGGGAGAGAAGCTGACGGATGAGGAGGTGGACGAGCTGCTCAAAGGTGTGCAAGTTGGCAGGTGAGTTGTAGCGCATCGTCTCGCGCGATCAAGTGCCTGTATGCTGACGCCTGTGCCGCGCTCTGCTGTGCAGCGATGGCAACATCCACTACGAGAGCTTCGTCAGACAAATCCTCAGCCAGTGAAGAAAGGTCGCGCTGAGGGCCACTGTCCCGATCTCAATGGGCTAGCTACGAATGACCGACCATCTCGGACTGTATCAAGTACGACGCGCGCCTCCAAGCTGTGAAGTAATCCATATTGATTGCTTGAATGGCTAGCGCGTGGAGCTCGGGGTTCTGAATCCGGAAGAGAGGTGTGATCGGATGCCGATGAGGCGTGAGGTATCGCCTATTGTTACCGCAAGCTTCCTTCTTGGGGTCAACTTCACAAGTAAGGCGTGGCTCGTCTCAGGCTGAATGACTGTGATTGGTGTGCCTCTTTTCCAGCGCGCCCTCGAACATTGGCAAAGGCGTTCTCTGCGGTCGAGCCCGGCTAAGGTAGTCTCCGATCGGAGCATCAAGAAGCGCCAAGGTTGGCCAAGCGCGTGCAGCGGAGTTGAGCGATTTGTAAGCTCTCTTTGTCTCTGGGTGCGAAGGAGCCAGCACCTGTTGGTGTTGGTGCTGCACACACACACGCACATGTCTGCATCGGGACCGGTCAGAGATCTCACTGCTGCGAGCAAGGAGGAACAGACGCGCTTTGCTCGGAACGTGATCGAATCATCAGAATGCGT